TTAGTTGGGGATTGGTCCTGCTTTGAGCAAGGGGTTGGACTAGATGCCCTCCTGAGGTCCCTTCCAACCCTGATCTTCTATGATTCTATGACCCGTCACTTTCCCCAGGACAGCTGTACTTTAGATCTCACACCAAAGACAGCAATTGTAGCCAATCCTATAACAAACTACATACTGCTCTATTAACTAGGGGAAGGAAATGAGAATTATTTACAAGGTGAAAGCCGGTAACATACACATACAAATGAGATACAATCTAAGTTTCAAAAGGTGATAGACACTTCTGTATCAAGCAAGCTCTGTGAGTCTGTGATGGGGTGTCCGCCCCACACCAGCCTGGAAAGGGTTCACGTGTCTCAGAAGGGGTTAAGTTACCTGATAGGACACACCTGGAGGAAGAGCTGACCCAGGAGGGGCTGCAGCCAGGAAGCCTGTACTCATTGTCCCGGCTCGGAGAGGGAAAGGAGGGAACCCTGGGAAAGGCAGGAGCCCTGGGATCCTGGCCGAAGGGGAAAGGTTTACCCAGAGGGGTGGTGAAGAGGAAGGTTGATAAAGGCAGAACAGGAAAAGGCAGCAAGGATGGCACGGGGCAGACCTTGGCGGCTGATTGGAGGGTCCGTGGGCTGGGCCCAGAGCAGTGGGCAGACCTGGGTTCCCCTACCAGCCACCAGGGAAGTGACATAGCCTTGAATTGGAGAACTGCTGGGAACGATACACCGAACCAGTGACTTGGATAACCCAGACGGAGAAAACCATTGTGAGCTGGCTGGAGAGCCAAGCCTCGACAAGGGAGCACCCGGTCATGAAGAAGGAGAAACCTGGCTCCTGAGAGAGAGGGAGACCATGGGGCTATCAGAGCGGCCAGGAGCTAATCCCCAGCTGAGCCACAAGGAGGCGCCCTCGCAGTGAGTAGCGATACCCCGTTACAATGTCCTTTAGGGCTGTCCCAGGCTAAGCGCTGGGGATCTCTTGCTTGTTCCTAGGAACCTGTCCCCCCGCAGAGTCCAAGCAGCATGGAGATAATCAGTTCCTTCTGAGAGGGGGTTTTGTCCCCCTCCTGCCATGGGCTCTGAGCTGCAGACTCAGCTGATGGGAGGAATCCAGTAGCAAGACTCATCTTTGTGGGGGGAAGAGGAGAACAACAAAGGCTCTAGACTGTTCTCAATGGTAGCAGATGACAGAACGAGGAGTAATGGTCTCAAGCTGCAGTGGGGGAGGTTTAGATTGGATATTAGGAAAAACTTTTTCACTGTGAGGGTGGTGAAACACTGGAATGCGTTACCTAGGGAGGTGGTAGAATCTCCTTCCTTAGAGGTTTTTAAGGTCAGGCTTGACAAAGCCCTGGCTGGGATGATTTAACTGGGAATTGGTCCTGCTTCGAGCAGGGGGTTGGACTAGATGACCTTCTGGGGTCCCTTCCAACCCTGATATTCTATGATTCTATGAAAGTCTTTTGTTCTCTTTGCCGTCCCCCAATAGTTCGTCTGGTGTTGATGGCCCTTGGCATGAGCTGGCACCTGGTCTGCCAGCGTGCACCATCCTGCCCCCAGGGTGGTGATTTCGGGTCAGCTTTGGCTGGAGCAGGGAATTCAGAGGAAAAGTGGGAGGGGCCGGGGAGTCTGAGGAGCTCAGAGGAGACCAAGGGGGCTCCGCATGCGTGTGTTTGCGGGGAGAGGGCCTGGGGTGAAACCAGCAGCAGCACAATGATGCTGAGCAAAGGCAAACGTAGGCTGCGAAACGTCCGGATGCTGGCGAGATCCTCTGGACAAGTCTCCCACCGGAGCCCTGGAGAGCAGCCCCGGGGGCGTCCTGCGCTGGCCGTAGGGCCTGGCTGGGCCCCGCAGGCTCCTCCAGCCCCAGCGTTGCCATGGTTCTTGCCCATGCTCGGTCACTGCTGACCAGGCACGCTCGGCTGCGCAGGCCCCTGCAGCCTGTGACCCCTCTCTGCTCCGGCGTCCCCAGGGAAGAGGGTGCCGGGTCACCACACACAGCTTCCACACACACGGTGTGCACACACAGCATGGCACACACACACACGCACCCCACAGCACACACACAACACACACGGCACAGCATACACACAACACACACGCACCCCACAGCATACACACACACACACACACACACGGCACAGCATACACACAACACACACACGGCACCGCACCACACGGCACAGCACCACACGGCACACACACGCACCGCACAGCATACACACATACACACACACACACACACACACACACCGCACAGCATACACACACACACACACACACGGCACAGCACCACACGGCACACACACACACCACACAGTATACACACATACACATACCACACAGCATACACACACACACACGGCACCGCACACACACAACACACACGGCACCGCACGGCACACACACGCACCGCACAGCATACACACAACACACACGGCACCGCACACACACAACACACATGGCACCGCACGGCATACACACACACACACACTCACACACAGCAGGGACTCGCCTGGCTGGAGTAAGCCTGGCAGCTGAGCCCCAGCCCAGGCTGTCCCCCTGCCCCGGCACACAGGGCTGCCATTGTGGGGGAGCTGGGCCGAGGCCCCTCGCCAAGCAGGTGTGGTGAGGCCTGCTCACTCTGCGCACAGCCGTGCTGCGGCCTGGCACGTCTGGAGGTGGAGCCCCGGAGCTGGACAGCCCTCGCCCTGGGACTGACCGTGCCCTGCTCACCACCGGCCGGGCCAGCCCCAGGGCTGGTGTGACGAAGTGGGACTGTTCTTAATGTTTCCTCTGAATAGTGTGGAGGTGCCTCAGTTTCCCCTAGGCAGTTCTTAAGTATCTAGGGGGTGGGATACGGGTGTATGATCCTTGCAGAGCCCTAGAGGGCAGGTGTGTGCAGGGGTCTGGACACAGAGAATGGCCAACGCCCTGTTTCCTGGCTACTGATGGCCTGGCCCTTCCCCCCTGAAAGGTGAGAGCTAAAGGGTTGGAGAACAAAGGAATCAGGTGCCCTCCTGGCCCGGGAAAGGGACAAAGCCCAGAGGGCGAGGGGCTGGAGGGAGTTTCAGTTTGGGGCTGGCTGGGACATGGAGTGAAGGGAAGACGTTGTTGTCTGGCTCACTGCCCCCCAAAATGGACCCAGCTGAGGGGTCCTGTTCTCTGCACCTACAAGCTCTGTGTTAGACCATGTTCCTGTCGTCTAATAAACCTCTGTTTTACTGGCTGGCTGAGAGTCACGTCTGACTGCGAAGTTGGGGGGCAGGACCCTCTGGCTTCCCCAGGACCCCGCCTGGGCGGACTCGCTGTGGGAAGTGCACGGAGGGGCAGAGGATGCTGAATGCTCCGAGGTCAGACCCAGGAAGGGGGAAGCTGTGTGAGCTGTGTGTCCTGCAGACAGGCTGCTCACAGAAAGGAGACTGACCCAGAGTCCTGCCTGGGAACAGTTCCAGAGCATCGCCCGGGGACTCCGTGACACCCCCAGTCAGGGGTTGCCTCCGTGTGGCCAGCTTGGGGTCGGAGCTTGTCAGATTGCAGGTGCTGAGCCTGGCGGGGCTTGGAGGAGATAGTGCCAAGGAATATCCAGGTGTGCAGGGAGTGGGGTGTGGGGGGGCTCCCCTCAGAATCCGTGCTGTGCCCGGTGCAGTGCTAGGGGGCGCTGGGCTGCAGGGAGCAGGGTGGCAAGTAGTGGACATGTGACCCGCTGAATAATACTGTGCCCGGTGCCCCAGGCAGTGCCATGGTGCCGTCCCTCTGAGGGAGCTGAGCACAGCTCCTGTCCCGGTGCTGTCATGGGATCAGAAGGGAATCTGTGATTGCAGCGTCCTGGCCAGTCCCCGCATGTGCGGTTACTTTCTGCCTCCCTCAGTCCCCACTTCAGCTTCACTCAGACGTGGAATTCCTCTGCACGTCCTGGCCCAAACTCTGTCGCATGCCGTCCACCCCAGAGGTGGGTGCATTTCCGCGGCAGGTGGGTGGGTGAGCCCTGAGTGGGCAGCCTGGGAAGGATGTGGGAAGCATTGGGATGATGGGTCATGAGCAGCGCTGCTGTGTATGGGGGGGACGGGGACGCAGATGGTGTTTTAGCAGTTGCATGGGAGAGCGATGAGTTGGCCAGTGGGCTGGAAGCAGCCACGTCTCTCCTCTGCCTCCAGGGGAGAATCTACAGGACAGTCACAGGGGTCAGCTGGGACCCACTGCCCCATATCCCCCATGTCCTTCAGGCTCCCTCCCTCCCTCCCGCGCTCTCCTGGGAGCGCCCGTTCCTGCCTGGCCTTGAACTGGTTCCTTTGGCCCAGAGGAGGTTTGGAGTGTGGGTCTGTCCTGCTGCCCCTCTGTTCGCACCGCCCCACTGCAGTTCTGCCCCGGAAGTGTGAGGGGCTGGATTCTGGTGCAGAGCAGAGAGGGAAGAAGCTGCTGGGGAAGCCCTGCAGGGAGTGGGGGGCATGAATCAGCCCCAGGCTGGTGCTGACTCCCCAGCTCTGCCAGTGTCCCTACATCCTGCCCCCTGCTGCCCCAGCCCTGTGCTCACAGACCCCCACCACCATCTCAGTCAGTGCCCTTCCATCCTGGCCTCCAGTCCTAGTCCTCCCCCTGTTACTCCCTCGTGTGGCCAACCCTGTGCTCTTGGGTACCATGGCCCATTCAGAAGGATGAGAATCCACCAAACTCATTTCACTTGTGACCTAGCCTGGGATTTGATCCCAGCTCTGCAAGGGAGAAGGGCCAATGCACATGTTCCCAGAGACCCCCCCCCCCCAGACCAGCTGACATGCGGCAGAGGCCAGTCGGTGTACCCCGGGCGTGCTGGGCCTGCCCTGGCCACTGGGGCATGGGCTGGGGAGCCCCCCGCCTTTCCGTCTCTGCTGCTCTGGCTCTGTGAAGGTGCCTCTGCTAGGCGGGGAAGGGTTAAAGCACCCTAAAGCTGCCGGATCTCCTGGGCTGGGGCTGGGCGGGGTGGGGAGAGGCTGGGCTGACCTTGCTCCTCTCTTTCCTGAGTGGATGCAGTCCCCGCGCTGCAGTCCTTGAGGTTGTCACTAATGAAAGCAGCTCAGCCTGGGAGCCGGAGAGGAGACGTGGGGAAGGATTTCATTGGTATCTCCCAGCCAACGTCAGAATGGTTAAAAACCCGCTTCCTCTCCCAGCGAGGAGCCTAGCGCAGCTCAGGCCGTAGCTGGTACGGGGCCAGCAAGCCAGGCGGCATCTGCTCAGCCCCGCTTTCTCTTTGCCTGCGTGCGCGCTAGCCTCGGCCACCAGCTGCCAGCATCTTCCTCCTCCCGCATCCTCCAGCAGCATCCGCTCCGGGTACCAGCCTCCCTTCTCCATCCACAGGCGTCGCCTCTCCGGGGCAGCGAGGGAGCCCCGCCAGGGACGCAGTGAAGGCGGGCAAGGAGGAGGCTGTTGGGAGAAGCAGACGGAATGGGCACCGTGCGGGCAGCTCCTTAGGGCTCACGCCGCGGCGCGTCCGGATCCCCACCCCGGTAAGTGGGGCGTAGCCTCCGTCGGGGGAGCAGCGCCGAGCCTGCTGCGAATGCACGGCGGAGAGCGTTCGGGAACTCGTTAGTGACAGGGTGGGGCACTTCACCCCGCTGGCCCCCTTCCTCTCCAGGACAGGCACCCCTCTCGCTGGCAGGGGGGAGCAGGGGTTCAGAGCTGGTCTGAGCAGTGGGGGACTGGCCTTGGTGTTGCCTTGGGGCGGAAAGTCAGACACCGGGGCCAGTCCGTTGGCTCTCTCCCTTGGGTGCAGGGTCCCGATGTGGGTGCTGGGCTGAGGAGGTCTCCTAAGGGCGGGTGGGCGTGGGAGCTCCGTGCCGGGGGGGGATACTGAGTATGCTGCAGAGGAGGGGACTGTGCGGTCTTGGTATTTCTGCCGCCCTCTGGGAGATGGAGACGTGCGACAGAACCACAAAATCTCCTGCTCTCTGAGCCCGCAGAGCCGAGCCTCCTGCCCCAGGGCCAGGGTGCCAGGCTGCCCTGAGCCCCATCGGCTGCCTTGCTGCAAGCTCGCTCAGCAGCCTGGAAATGCCCCAATTCAAGCCGCTCCAGCCCTTCCCTTCCGGCCGTTGCTTGAATCTTGTCCGAGTGACCTGAGTGCTGGGGAAGGTGCCGGCGGGCAGCCCCGGGGCTAGAATCCCCGGCTAGCCACAGAACAGGGGCAGCATGGGCACCGGCTGTGCCCCTGTGCCCCCGGGGCTGCCACTTGGGTTCCGGTGCAGCTCAGTGCCAAGGCGGGGGGCAGTCAGAGCCAGTGGAAATAGCATCCTGGGCCCCTCAGCGCTGCCTCCAGAACCCACCTTTGCTCAGCTGCACAGGCCTGCCTGCCCCTGCCCACGCCCGGGCCAAGCAAAGGGGGCCAGCAGCCTGGCACCAGCTGCACTGCACGGGCCTGGCACGGCTGCTGGTCAGTCCCTCTGCCTCCCCCACCCCCACAGGCGACCCTGCAGCGCCCCGGCCCCAGTGCAAGCGGCGAGCAGGACCAGACCCAGGGGCCACCAGGAAGCAGGAGTAGAGGGTGCGGGGAGCACCCTCTTTGGCTTCCCAGGAATGCTAGCCCAGCCTCCTACCCCCTGCCAACCGGCACAGGCTACTGGCCCATGCTGCCTGCTCCCCAGGCTCCAAGAAGGGGCAGACGCTGGATGCTACAGAGGAGACTGCAGGCCTCTCCCAGCCCCACGGCTGTGAGGGAATCGCCCTGAGCCCAGCTGGGGGGACAATGGGCCCTGAGACCCTGTCCCCTTTCCAGACGCCCGCAAAGCCCCCAGCCCGCCCAGAGCTGTCCATGGTTGCCCTGCGCATAGATGGGGGCCGTCAGCCCCACAGGGACCCCATCCCTCGTCCCAATGAGGCCAGGTCCCAGGGTCGTTCCTGCCCTCCTGGAGAGCATGAGCCCACAGCTCACTGCTGAGCCCCAGGGGCAGTGCCCCCTGCAAGGTCCATCCTGCCGTGGCAACACCCAGCCCCAGGCTCCCCCACGCTTCCACCCCCTGGGCCATCGCCCGGAGCCACTTCTGGAGCTTTTCCTGGCCTGAAGTCTGTCTGTCCGTCTGGCCCAACTGGGGCCGGGCACCTCGGCCCCGGGGCAGCATCACGGGCTCCAGGTGCCCACCTCAGCCCTTTCCTTGCCCGGCCAGCGTCGGCTGGAATCCAGAGAGCGCAGCGCGGTGACTTGCTCCCAGCCCTTCCTTCCCCCGGGACCCACGGCAGGGCTGTGCCAGTCAGGACTTGGGCACCCCGCGCTCAGTGCTCCCGGCTCCCTGCTTCCCCAGCTGGCCACACCTCGCGCTCAGCAGCTCTTCCTGGCTCTCTCCCGCTCGCCCCCAGTGCCCTCCCAGGGCAGCCCTAGCCCAGCCCTCCCCAGCCTTTGACTGCAGCCTCCCCTCCACACCCTCATCGCCCGGCACACATGCCAGCCCCGTGAGCCAGGAGGCCGGGCAGCCCCGGGCTCCAGTGGGGAAAAGCGAGGGGTGAAGGGATGGGTGGCGGGTGACTGGCAGAGCCGAGAGAGGGGCAGGGCGCATGCCTGGACCGGAGGGAGCCAGCGAGCTCCGGGCGCCATATAACAGAGCAGTGACCGTCCCGTGGCCTGCTCCCCTCCGGGGCACTCAGTGACAGCCACCGGCACAGCGCCACGTTGGACAGGGCACCCCAGCTGCATCCTCCTCCTCAAGCCACTGCAGCCTCCTCCTCGAGACACAGGCCACCTGCCTCCAGCCGCACTCTCCCCCGGCCAGCGCAGGCACCAGGGCCCTGCTCCCACGGCGGGGATTGGGGGTAGGCAGCAGGAGGGCGTCTTTCCCCTCTCCACCGTGCGCCAGCCTGGGCGTCTGGCTGCCATGTGCTTCCCCGCATGCACCCCTCACCCAGTATAGTGGGAGCAGCTGCCCTGGCATGGACACCGTCGCTGCGCCCCGGCAGGGGCAGAGCGTATGCCCTCCGTCAGGGAGACGCGGGCCTGCCCAGCTGGGGATCTCCTCTAGCCGTGGGCTGTCAGACGAGGGAGCCACCCTGACATGGCAGCCCGTAGCGGGCAGGAGCAGTGCCCACATTTAGCCGGCACGTTACCCGGCGGTGCCTGCGAGGCTGTAACCCTGCAACAGGCTGCAGCCCTGGGGAGGCCCAAGGAGGGAGGGGGAGCTGCACCCAGACCAGGTGGAGCAGCTGGAGGAGACGCCAGCCCCGGGGGCAGCCCGGCTGCTGGGACTGCCAGCCCCGCCCCGCTGTCTGACAGACCCAGCATGGAGATCTCAGTAGCTAGACGCGCAGCCGCGGCTGGCTTCCCTCCTTCCCAGGGGCTTTCCCCCGAGGGGGCTAGGGCAGGCAGGGCAAGAGAGAAGCTCCTTCCCTCCCGGCTCCAGGGAGCCTGCGGCACAGAAAGCCCAGAGGGCCCCATGCAGACGCCAGCTGTGAGCCGCCGTTTGCACTAGTGACAGACGTATGGGCCAGGCCCAGTTACTGGAGTGGGGACGGAGCAGGGGGCGGGGTTCAAACAACCCCGCCCTGTGCTCACAACCCTACCATAACAACCCAGCCCTGGGCTCTCCGCCTGACAATAACAACCCCGCCCTGTGCTCACAACCCTACCATGATAACCCAGCCCTGGGCTCTCCGCCTGACAATAACAACCCCGCCCTGTGCTCACAACCCTACCATGACAACCCAGCCCTGGGCTCACAACCTTACCATAACAACCCAGCCCTGGGCTCTCCGCCTGACAATAACAACCCCGCCCTGTGCTCACAACCCTACCATGATAACCCAGCCCTGGGCTCTCCGCCTGACAATAACAACCCCGCCCTGTGCTCACAACCCTACCATGACAACCCAGCCCTGGGCTCACAACCTTACCATAACAACCCAGCCCTGGGCTCTCCGCCTGACAATAACAACCCCGCCCTGTGCTCACAACCCTACCATGATAACCCAGCCCTGGGCTCTCCGCCTGACAATAACAACCCCGCCCTGTGCTCACAACCCTACCATGACAACCCCACCCCAACACCCCCCTGCCCCCCCCCCCCCCCCCCCCCCCCCCCCCCCCCCAACCCCCCAAACAACCCACCCTGGGCTCTCCGCCTGACAATAACAACCCCGCCCTGTGCTCACAACCCTACCATGACAACCCAGCCCTGGGCTCTCCGCCTGACAATAACAACCCCGCCCTGTGCTCACAACCCTACCATGACAACCCCGCCCTGTGCTCACAACCCTACCATGACAACCCAGCCCTGGGCTCTCCGCCTGACAATAACAACCCCGCCCTGTGCTCACAACCTTACCATAACAACCCAGCCCTGGGCTCTCCGCCTGACAATAACAACCCCTCCCTGTGCTCACAACCCTACCATGACAACCCAGCCCTGGGCTCTCCGCCTGACAATAACAACCCCGCCCTGTGCTCACAACCCTACCATGACAACCCAGCGCTGGGCTCACAACCTTACCATAACAACCCAGCCCTGGGCTCTCCGCCTGACAATAACAACCCCGCCCTGTGCTCACAACCCTATCATGACAACCCAGCGCTGGGCTCACAACCTTACCATAACAACCCAGCCCTGGGCTCTCCGCCTGACAATAACAGCCCCGCCCTGTGCTCACAACCCTACCATGATAACCCAGCCCTGGGCTCTCCGCCTGACAATAACAACCCCGCCCTGTGCTCACAACCCTACCATGACAACCCAGCGCTGGGCTCACAACCTTACCATAACAACCCAGCCCTGGGCTCTCCGCCTGACAATAACAACCCCGCCCTGTGCTCACAACCCTACCATGATAACCCAGCCCTGGGCTCTCCGCCTGACAATAACAACCCCGCCCTGTGCTCACAACCCTACCATGACAACCCAGCCCTGGGCTCTCCGCCTGACAATAACAACCCCGCCCTGTGCTCACAACCCTACCATGACAACCCAGCCCTGGGCTCTCCGCCTGACAATAACAACCCCGCCCTGTGCTCACAACCCTACCATGACAACCCAGCCCTGGGCTCACAACCCTACCATAACAACCCAGCGCTGGGCTCACAACCCTACCATAACAACACAGCCCTGGGCTCACAACCCTACCATAACAACCCAGCGCTGGGCTCACAACCCTACCATAATAACCCAGTCCTGGGCTCTCCGCCTGACAATAACAACCCCGCCCTGTGCTCACAACCCTACCATGACAACCCAGCCCTGGGCTCTCCGCCTGACAATAACAACCCCGCCCTGTGCTCACAACCCTACCATAGCAACCCAGTCCTGGGCTCTCCTCCTGACAATAACAACCCAGCCCATGCTCACAACCCTACCATAACAACCGAGCCCTGTGCTCCAAAACCTGACCATAACAACCCAGCCCTCTTTCTCACAGCCCTAAGACAGCACACCAACAGATGCTTGGGGGTCAGCGGGATTTCGGCTGGGCCGGGGCAGTGACTGGCCTGGGGAGCAGAGGGGGCTGAGGGTGAATGGATTGTAGCTCAGGGAGCAGG